TTGAGAATTTGAATGGCTTAACTGGAAACTTGAAACTATGAAATCATCTGGTAAAAAAAGGGCGACGGATTCTGGTAAAGAAAAAAGTCATAATCCATAAAATGATTGGAGACTTTCTCAACATTTTATTTTACCATAACTTTTTAACATGACTATACCTGTGCTGGTCAGCTATATGCGACATGAATGGTAGGTATTCTGTCTGAACCTTATTTTGGGTGGTTCAGTGCTCCAAGTAAGCGTATTATCCTCCTACACTTTGATCCCTTCAGTGTATTAGATCCCCATAGTCTATTCTCTCTTTTATGGATTGTTTTCATATTTAACATAAATGAACAGACCTTGAAACCCCTCAAAATTGGGTAAAAATGATTGGTAGCCATAAAAATCTCAGCAGTTTCTCTGCAGTGCTCTCACTCTCGGGTGGCTCCCTTTTTCCATATTTTTTAATATACTCCTTGAAAAGCTCCATTTGGGCTTATGGAGGGATGAGTTCTTCTTTAGCTGCTATCATTTCTGAACTGAGTGTGCATTGTGTTTGCTTTCTTTCTCTAGGCCATGTTGTGCTTGATGGATTCTTTAATTGGATTATTACGGTTGTTTTACCACTTTGCTACTGCCAATTGTTGTATGACAAAGTGCTTTCACAGCATGACATTGGAACAACCATTTCATAGATTTAAGTTTAAGTAGGTTGGACATAATAAGACACAACATTTCATGAATGCTATAATGTTGTAGGAAAGACTTTATAAGCGTAGTTGCAAAATGCAATTTACTTTACACTTTGAAAATTCTCTAATTGGTGTCTATTTTTCTATGAGCATGTGTTGTATAGCTATGTAACTGATTGATTGCATTCTTTGGTCCAATGTTAGTTGTGTAAACAGGTGTAAATAGGAATATCGTGAATTTAGACTCTTTTTTTGTTGTCAGCGTGAATAATGGGGCCGAGGTGGAAAGGAAAAGGGGCCGAAGTTAAAGCTCTTGCAGATCCCATTTCAGAAATAGTAATCCAGCTTCAATCTTCTCTGATCTGCTCAAACTCTCGAGGACTGCTTTCTGATACGAATGTGCTTCTTAAAGCAGACACAGAACAAACTGAGCTCCTCAATCGTGCATGTTTTGGTAGGCCCAGGGTAACGGCAGAAAAGAATGAGCAATGGTTTCAGCTCTGCATGGAAGAAGCTTTTTACCTTCAGTATTCTCTAAAATGCATTAAGGTTGTTGACCACAATGACACTGAACTGAACAGTGATGAGGTATGGAGGCATATGACATCCAGGAGGGAAGATTTTCCTATCTTATTCAAAGCTTTTTCTCACATTAGAAGTAAGAACTGGGTGGATAGATCGGGCTCTCAGTACGGGGTAGACTTTGTTGCCTATAGCCATCATCATGCTCTAGTACATTCTGAATATGCTGTGGTGCTTTATCTTCACAAAATGGTAGTGCAAATGGTCGCTTGAGGGTTTGGTCTGACTTCCATTGCACTCTTCGACTTTGTGGTAGTGTGGCGAAAACGTTACTAATTCTTGATATTGAGCAACAGCAAAGTTGTGCAACTTCTCCGTCGTGCTTAGATAACTATGTTGTTGAAGAGAGAACAATCACAAGATGGAGTCCGGAGCAAGGCCGCGAAACAAAAGCTAAGTTTGACCTAAGTAAAAAGTAGATCGTCTGGTTCAAGATTAACTCCTACTTCACATGTTGTACTAGTTTAGCAATTGTAATGTGATTTAGAAGCATTACGATTAATACTATGTATTACTATTAATACTCTGCATACTGTATTTATTCCTCCTACTTTGTTGCAGGCATTTTGGGCCGACTTTTATGCCCAGCAAAATGGTAAACTATGCCTTCTTATTTCACCCTCGATGCTCTTTTAAGTAAAAGTCAAGCGTACATGAATGTTTTTCTCTTATAGCAAGTTGCTACATCCGGAAAGAACTAAGCTGCCTCCAAAACCAATTCAAAGAGAAACCCAAGCCTAAAAGGAATTAATTATATTAAAAAAGAACAGAACAACTCATACGAGATTTACAGCCAATTCCCTTTGGGGGAGAAAGGGAGCATATGAAAGTATGAAGAAAGTATGTTGTTCTAATAAGATAGAAATGCCAAACATAGGGAATACATTTCAAGGTTTACTGTATTGTCATGGGGGCTCTTAGAAGTGTATCCTGCTAGGTTGAGATTTCTCCATCCTGGTTTCTCCATAAGGCTCATCGTTATCGATCTGCTTGTTGTGTCTAAAGGCTGCTATGGCAACAATATACATGCTGACTAGAATGATCAATATGACAATGTTGATGACAGATACTTTCCTCTAACTCTTTTTCAGACTTGCCAGAACACCAGCTTTACAAGAATTGCAGTTATAGCAGAGCTGCTGTTGATCATTGTTCCATCTAACACAATCTGGATCACCTCGTACCAGCCCTCCTCCGAAACTCCACACTTTCTCATTCATGTAAGTATAGCCACATTCTGTAGGGGGCTTGCAGCAACCAAACTACATAAAAAGTTCCAAGACTTTGTCAGAGAAGTTGTCTTTACCACTGTACTATATACCGACTAATGTTAGAGCAAGAGTAGTTTTGCCCATGAATGCTCCTTAATCAATATTTTAGGCAACAGTTTGGAGATTTAAAAAAGGAATAGTCCAACCCATTCAGTAGTCAGAGGATTCACCAAGTTAGACTAATTTTACATCCGTAGTCAACCTACAACAACGCTCTTCTTTTTATCCAGGTTTAGGACTAGCTACATTTGCAAAGATCACACAGACGGAGTTAATGTGTTAGATATTTAAACACATAGCCTCTTGCTCTTCAAGCTGTGGGGCAAGTGCACAGATAGCCATTCTCAGGGATGCTATTTAGAAATTAACCATTACTTATTTTGTCCTCGAATTTTAAACTAAAAATCTTAATTTCAGGATACTTTTATCCCAAGAAATTGAACTGAAAAACTGAAAATTCAAAATGCACTGGCTAATTTCTTAATAGCAGCACTTTAGAGTGGCTACCTGGTGTCATTTCTACTCAAGCTGCATATATGTGATGTCGACAACTGGGGCCCTAATAATTGGAGCTTGCTGGGAGTTAGGCTTCCATCTATTCCAACCAAGTATAGTCATAAATATCAACATCAAACTTATATACGCTATTTTCATATAGTAGGTGATGGATGCCAAAGGCAATAAAATATCAGGAAGTGATTGAAGCAATAAATGTTTTCATAACCAATGTCCCTTTGAGGCCACTTGCAAAGTAAGATCCACGACATATACATTTCTTTTTTTGACATGTTGATCTAGGTTACATCAGGAAAATATTTGTTTGTACAAACTCTTACAAGTGACTCATAAACTAGAGAAGCTTCTTTCTTTGTGTTGGACCACTTAATATGAAATAACCCATAACTCTTACTACATAACCTACTGTGCGTGCATAAACTAAAGCAGCCACCTACCAAGTTTTCTTTTCCATGCATTAAAATTTTCTCCCACATGTTATCATAAAGGCTATTAAATGAAACAGTTAATTGCCTTGGATGGTCACCATGTAAAGAAAGAGCCTTAATTTCTTGCAATTTCATATTCATTAAGCTTGACTTTTGGAGGCAGCTTAGCTCTTTCCGGATGTAGCAACTTGCTATAAGAGATAAAAACATTCATGTAAGCTTGACTTTTACTTAAAAGAGCATCGAGAGTGAAATAAGAAGGCATAGTTTACCATTTTGCTGGGCATAAAAGTCGGCCCAAAATGCCTGCAACAAAGTAGGAGGAATAAATACAGTATGCAGAGTATTAATAGTAATACATAGTATTACTCGTAATGCTTCTAAATCACATTACAATTGCTAAACTAGTACAACATGTGAAGTAGGAGTTAATCTTGAACCAGACGATCTACTTTTTACTTGGGTCAAACTTAGCTTTTGTTTCGCGGCCTTGCTCCGGACTCCATCTTGTGATTGTTCTCTCTTCAACAACATAGTTATCTAAGCACGACGGAGAAGTTGCACAACTTTGCTGTTGCTCAATATCAAGAATTAGTAACGTTTTCGCCACACTACCACAAAGTCGAAGAGTGCAATGGAAGTCAGACCAAACCCTCAAGCGATCATTTGCACTACCATTTTGTGAAGATAAAGCAAGCACAGCATATTCAGAATGTACTAGAGCAGGATGATGACGATAGGCAACAAAGTCTACCCCGTACTGAGAGCCCGATCTAACCACCCAGTTCTTACTTCTAAGGTGAGAAAAAGCTTTGAATAAGATAGGAAAATCTTCCCTCCTGGATGTCATATGCCTCCATGCCTCATCACTGTTCAGTTCAGTGTCATCGTGGTCAACAACCTTAATGCATTTTAGAGAATACTGAAGGTAAAAAGCTTCTTCCATGCAGAG